GACCCCTGGTATTTGTGCACGGGTTTTGCTCAGGAAGGGAAAATGTGTGGGAGTCCTTGTTCTTAACGGTGCCCGTGGCTGTAGGGCTGTGCTGCTCGGGCTGTGCCCCCTGCACACATCGGGCTCTGAGAGAGCAACTGCTGCTCGGGCCTGTGCCCCGCAGCCCGGCGCCGAGTGCCACTGCACAGCAGGCAGAGTGTCCCCACGTGCCCCTCAGGCCTGGAGCAGCTCCTGCGTCTGAGCAGACTGTCCCAAAGGCTTCAGCTGCAGCCTCCTGCCATGAAACCGTGCGGGCCGTGCGTGGCGGGGGCGGCTGCCCGTGGGCAGTGCCAGCTGGGGACATGGCACCGTGCAGCCCTGGCACCAGCCGGGCTGACGGGAGATCCGTGCCAGGCTGCTCGTGAATAAAGGCCGTGCAGGAGGAGTGTTCCTTCCTGCTGCTGATTTGCTTCCTGTGAACTCCACAGCAGCTTGGATCCTTACCCCCTCCCCTCTCACAAAGTGCCTTGTAAAGCAGAAACACTGACTTGGCAGCCCCTGCCTACACATGCGCCGTGTCCCACGGGGCTTTGACTCTTTCAGACCAGAGACTGGAACGAGGAGCTGCAGACCACACGAGAGCTGCCACGCAAGAACCTGCCCGAAAGGCTGCTGAGAGAGCGAGCCATTTTCAAGGTAACTGCACGATGAACAGGCAGCTCCCTGTGCCCATGTCACATCTGGGCTACCCTCCAGAAGCTGGAAGAGGAGGATCCTGGTGTGTAAGCCAAAGGGCCTTGTTCTCTCTCTTGCACGTCTGCCTTCTGCTCCCAGCCCTGCAGGGAGGAATTGGGCTCCTTGACCCTGTGTGTCCCTGCTGACCCCCAGGCAGCCACCTCCTCATCCTCTGCTGCTTTGTCTGATCCAGTCCTTCGAGTGGGTGGGAGGAACAGGGCGACACACACCTAAGCCCCCCTCTGCAGAGAGCTGATGAGTCTGAGCCATGCTGATTCCAAATGTTCTGGTTCCTGGAGCTTGTATCCAAGCCACTAGCCAGGCTCACAAAAACAAAAGCCAGCTGAAGTGCCTGCATGCTGGAAGGCAGTTGGGAGAAGTTTGCAGGAAGCTTTGAGACTGAGGTGCTGGGGGGTGGGAGCCCTTCCTTACCCTTTCTCTTCACCTGCTTCCAGGTTCACAGCGACTTCACCGCAGCAGCAACAAGAGGTGCTATGGCTGTCATTGATGGCAACGTCATGGCCATCAACCCCAGCGAAGAGACCAAGATGCAGATGTTCATCTGGAACAACATTTTTTTCAGCCTGGGCTTTGACGTCCGTGACCACTACAAGGACTTTGGCGGAGATGTTGCTGCTTACGTCGCTCCTACCAATGATCTCAACGGTGTGCGGACCTATAATGCTGTGGATGTAGAAGGGCTGTACACGCTGGGGACTGTGGTGGTGGATTACAGAGGTTACAGGGTGACAGCTCAGTCTATTATTCCTGGCATCTTGGAACGGGAGCAGGAACAGAGCGTCATCTATGGGTCAATAGACTTTGGCAAGACAGTTGTCTCGCACCCCAAGTACCTGGAGCTGCTGGAGAAGACCAGCAGACCACTTAAAATCCAGAAGCACAAAGTCCTCAACGACAAGAATGAGGAGGTGGAGCTGTGCTCCTCAGTGGAGTGCAAAGGCATTATTGGCAATGATGGGCGTCACTACATCCTGGACCTGCTCCGCACCTTCCCTCCAGACCTAAACTTCCTGCCTGTTGAAGGAGAGGAGATGCCAGAGGAATGTAAGAAAATGGGGTTCCCCAAGCAGCACAGACACAAGCTTTGCTGCCTCCGGCAAGAGCTTGTCGATGCCTTCGTAGAACACAGGTGAGCTGAGCTCCCCCCTCCAGCACAGGGCCGTGCTGTTGTCCTGGGGATGCCACAGCGGAGCTCCCAGAAGTGGGCGGCTCGTTTCCCCATTGCTTGGCTGTGCAGGTGCAATTACAGAAGCTTAATTAACAAGGTGGAAATGGCAGGGGTTGTGGCAGGGCCACAGGGAGCCAGGGAAGAAGCCAGTTTGCGTTTTAGTCTTCAAACCTGGTTTTGTTATTTCCTGTCTAAAGGTTCATGAGTTCTTCTTTCCCTGCAGCCATCCTGTGCATCTGACGGCGAGGGAACGGGGAGAATTTATGCAGCTTTTTGAGGCTCTCTAGATGTCCTGAATGCTACTTTTTTTTTCCTAGAGGCTGAAAACGTTACCTATGGGACGTGCTGTAGGCACTCTTGTGGTGGAATGTGTTGGTGTTGGGGCTCGCTCAGTGCAGACGAGGAAGTGGGAGCTCAGGGAGCAGGACAAGTGGAAGTCGTTTGGCAGTGTTAATGCTCCTGCTTCCAACCCGAAGGGCTGTGAGTGCTCTGCTCTCAGATGGTGGGAGCCTCTGCTTCTTGCCAGAAAGACGAGCCCTCCAGTTGCTGACAGAGGAACGCTGCCTGCTGAGCAACCAGTTCTGCAGCCAGCACCCTTCCCAGCCCTGCCACGTGCCTGCAGGCTGGCTTTGCTGCTCCCCGGGAGAGCGTCCAGACCAGCAGCCTGCAGGACCATGGCCGTAGGGTGCTGCTGCTGCTCCTTGGCTAGCAGAGCCTGGGCTTCCTGCCGAGGTCTGGCAGAATTGCTGCTGGTTTGTGTTTGACTCGTCCTGTGTATCTGGCAGCAAGAGTCTTCCCGAGCAGCCTGCTGATGTCGCCTGTGGAAGGCAATTTGTAACCACCACAAGGAGATGAGCTTCCGATTGTGATGGGTAATGAAAACCCACCTTTTTTGGCTTCTTCCAATAAACCAATGTGTGCTCCTTCAACTTTGGAAAGCTCATGGGAAGAGGGTGTACATCCTGCCTTTCCACAGGGAAGCTGTGCGGTCCGTAGTGCTAACTCCACAAGGCTTCTCCTTGCAGCAGAGTGTGGTGACCCTCTCAGACGCTCCTGCTGTGCTGAATTCCTCTTTTCCTTCACTGTAGGTATCTGTTATTCATGAAGCTGGCGGCGCTGCAGCTGATGCAGCAGAAAGCCAACAAGCAGGAGAGCTCAGGAGCGCTGGAAAATGGCTCCTCTCCGGAGAACGGCACTGCAGACAGCGAGAAGTCTGAGTCAGAGGATGGTAAAATAGATGATAACGTGACTGGACTTGATCAGGTGAAAGAGCTTGCTGAGACCATTGCGTCTGATGATGGAACAGGTATTTCATCCTCGGCACGGGCAGCAGCAGGCCTCCTGCCCCAGCTGCTGGGCTGTCACCCGTGGGAGCTGTGCCAGGCCGGGGGTGGTCGGGCTGGTTATCTGTTGTTAAACAGGACAAGTACTGGCTTCTGTCAGGATTGTCTCAGCTCCTGTGTAGAGCTTTCACACACTAAGGAATCAATCCCCTTGGGGGCTGGCCACGTAAGTGGGTGAGTGTCGCAGGAGGCTGCAAGCCCAAGAGTTGTGCTGAGCAAGAGCCTGGCCAGCGAGCTGGCTGCGGGGCCACCAGCTGGGGCTGGGTGGCCAGAGGCTGGGTGCAGTGCAGGGCGGCGTGCAGGCATCCCTGGGATCCTGGCTGCTTTTAGTAACACAGCTTTTCCCAGAATCTGATAGCCAGGCCTGTCATTTCCTGAAATCCACGTTCATCTGTGTTCTGTTTTTCTTCCTGCTGCAGTGGATCCCAAAAGCAGAGAAGTGATTCGAAATGCTTGCAAGGCTGTGGGCTCCATTAGTGACACGTCATTTGACATTCGGTTTAACCCGGATATTTTCTCACCAGGTAGGTGTACAAAGAGCTGGTCTCAGTCCTGCAGAGGGTCGCTGTGTCCAGCCAGCTAAAGGCAAAAAGCTGTGTGCTGTAGCCCAGGATATTGCTGGCTTTCGGCAAGCTGGGCATGGTGCAGGATTCTCCATGAAGCACAAAGATACAGAAAAGAGAGAGCAGTAATGGATTGTGATGCTGGAAGTGCTGGAGCAGGCAGTAAGCTGTCTCCCACCACCGTGCTCTGGGGAGGTCTGCAGGTTGCTGCCAAGAATCTTCTTGTGATTCTCCAGCATCCCAGCTGCTAGACCACATGAAAGAGAGCAGAGGGAGGGAAAAAAATTAACTTGATCCTAATGCAGTAGTTTACACAAGAAACAACAGTTGTAGTTGAACAACTGATGCTGGATCCTCAGTGAAGGGCAGGGTTTGTTTTAGTAATGTGGTGGTAAGCAGGTCATGGTGCCCTTTCAAATGCATGCATCAGTTCCAGGCGTCCTGTGAAGCTGGCCATGGCTGGAATCGGTACTTTTTTAATTTGGAAATGAAGAAGAAGCTCTCAGAGTGTTTATAGGGGTGAACACTGAGGCTGTATGTGTGCAAACTGCAGGGGAATGACCATATAGTTTGATTTAGCTTGGAATAGATATGTCAGAAGGAGCACGTGCTTTGAAATGTCCAAACACCTCCTAAGGCTGGTAAGGATTAGTGCTTTGGCAGTTAGAACTTTAAACCTAATTTTAACTTTGGTGTGCAAAAGCAAAAGTTTCAGAGTTTCTAGCACTTGAGGTATTTGCTGGTCCCTCTGCTGAAAGATTCTGCTCCAGTCTGACCAGTTGACTCTTGCACTAGAGGTGTACACAGCACTTTGCAGCAGTCCAGATAAAGAACAGAATTTGGGCTCAAAAGCTGTGTTGAGAATGGGTAAGTGGGCAAGAGCAGGACAGCTGCTAACCCAGCAGAGCAGCCAATGCTCTTTCCAGAGAAACATGTAGAGTAGGTGAGTTTTTGAAGAACCATCTCTTAATTCCAAGGAGCCAGAATCCCTTCAGCTCCTCGCCGCCCCGTGCGCTCTGTCTGGGACCTGCCTCTCGGAGCTGACGTGTTTCCTGCTTTCCTCCCTAGGGGTTCGTTTTCCCGAGTCCAGCAAGGAGGAGGTGCAGGATCAGAAGCAGCTGCTGAAGGATGCTGCTGCGTTCCTGCTGTCGTGCCAGATCCCAGGCTTGGTAAGGAGCTGTGGGTGGTGTCAGCCCCTCCCCTCAGAGCTGTGCCCGAGCCCGGCAGCGACCCCTCCCCAGCCTGTCCCCCTGCCCACAGCCCTGGCACCAGCCCTGCCACCCCTGGGCAGGTGCAAAAGGGGGTTTTCTTTTCCCCTCTGGCGTCGTGGCACAATTTTCCCACCTCAGTCCAACAAGGAACTTTTGGCACTGGTAACTAACAGCTATTGCTAAAGATTTGGGACAGTTGGGACCACAGAATTCATCCTCCCTAGCCCTGGGCATCCTGCACAGCTTAGTGTATTATCTGACCCTGATTGTGACTCAGTTGGTGACTAAGGATTTGGAGTGAACCAGGAAATTGTTCTTACGAGTCTCTGTTGTAAAAACTCTATAACTACTAAGCATTTTGGGTGCTTACCTGTGCACCTGGCTGCATAAGAGATACCAGTGTTCCCTTTCTCAAGATGCTCTCTAATCTGACTACTAATGCATATGTTACAGCAGGTACTGTAACTTGGAGGGTGGGATCGATGAGCTGTGCTCCAAGGGGTTTAGGAGTTGTTGGCCTTATGTAGGAGGGGATTTTCCTTGCTGGAAAGTTTCTTCTGAACTCTAAATCCACTAGTTCTGTAGTCAGCATAACCTTTAGCACCAGCTGTTTAGCCTTCAAATAAAATAAAGGAAGGGGAGTGAATCAGAAAAGGGCTTGGTGATGGTTGTTTTATAAGACAGCTGATACAGTAGTGTATAAACCCAAAATGCTGCACAAGCACATCTGAGGGCAGGGTACAGGCCAGGTGCTGTGGGCAGGCACGCCTCCTTCCTCTGCCTATCAGAAAGTAGCTGGTGTTACCCCATGACATGGATTAAGTGACTCTTTATCAGCACTGCAGCACAACTGAAAATGCAAGAGCCATCCCCCTTATCAGCTACGTGTGCACAGCTCCATGTAGTCTTTAATTGGAAACGTTTTCAGTTAGTGACTGCGAGCCCCTTAAAGAAGGGTTACCCTGCTAGTTCCACAAGCATTAGTTAAAGCAGCCCTGCCAGAGAGCAGCTCCTGAGCCACAGGAGTCCTCTGAGTCCCTGCTCTGCTGCTGTGTTCCTGCCTGGCCTGGGGCTGGAAGTCGGGCCCCGAGCCGTGCCGAGCTGTCTCCACTGGCCTCCGTGGGCTGCTGGAGGCCCTGCACATGTACCACATGGTCACAAGCATCTGTGCTGCTCCTCCCTCTGAGTCCCTGCTCTGCTGCTGTGTTCCTGCCTGGCCTGGGGCTGGATGTCGTGCCCCGAGCCATGCCGAGCTGTCTCCACTGGCCTCCGTGGGCTGCTGGAGGCCCTGCACATGTACCACATGGTCACAAGCATCTGTGCTGCTCCTCGGGCCCTGTGCCTCTGCCTGTTTTGCACAGGGAGTCAGATGGAGCCCGAGCTGTTCCACAGTGACACTTGCTCTCCCCACACCTCAGTTGCCCAGTGGTTGTTAGGAGCACACAGTGCTGCTCGTTCTCCACGAGACGTCGGAGCAACAACGGTACAAGTGGCAAGGAGCTTGCACAAAGTGCTTTGGGCTTCTGCTGCAAGTGCTCTCCCTGCCCATGTGGTGGGGTGGGCTCTGTAACAGCACCAAAAGAGCTGAGCTCGGGGTCACCGTTGCCCTTCGAGGTGACCCTGAGCCCCAAGGTAACAGAGGAGTGTGTGACTGGCAGCTGGGGAACAGCTCTGTACGTGCCAGTTCTTGCTGTGCTGGCAGCTTAAATGTCAGCCCTGGGAGCTGCCTCCTCTCTCAGGCAATGCCTTTGCCCTCCCCAGACAGATAATTTTTTTTTTTCTTTAAATTGAAATTCTCTCCCTCATGTCTGCTCTCAGTGACCCAGTAACCGACGTCTGTACGTGCCCTGCAGGTCAAGGACTGCCTGGATCACACGGTGCTCCCAATGGATGGGGCTACCTTGGCTGAGGCCATGCACCAGCGGGGCATCAACATGCGTTACCTGGGCAAAGTGATCAACTTCATCACCAAGACCCCTGGCCGTGCTCAGCTGGATCACATTTTTGTAAGCACCAGGCTTCACTTTAGGCTGTCAGTTAAAACCACCTCTGGCATAATTTACCCCATGTAGATTCCAACTTGGCAAATTTTCTCTGTGTGAAAATAAACAGCTTCAAAAATAGAGGAGGAGGGAGAGGGACCTGTAAGTGGTGTCTGGGGAGCTGTGCTCCCAAATCCTGACTGGCTTTCGTAGTGTTATTGGGGGTGTGAGTGTCCCTTGGGATAGAGAAGTGTTTCAGGGATTCCCAAGTGTAGTAGCCAGTGGCACAGCTGAGTTTTAAGCCATGTGTTTAAGATCCATCTGGACTTTGGATCAAAGTGGGAAGTGTTGTGAGCACAGCTTCCCACCAGCACCCGTGGGGCTGGTGCTGAGGTGGCTCCTGGCAGCACCGTTGGAGCCGAGCTGTGCCACAGGGGGTGGTCTGTGCTCACCGTGCAGGGGGCCCGGCTGTGCAGGGGCTCTTCTCCAGCCCCAGGACAGTTCTGTGCTGCAGGGTAAGGACTGGAGAGTGCATCTTCTGCAGATCTTGGTGAAAGCCCACTTCAAAAGCAAAATGTGTTTGTCACTGCTAATGCCAACTGACTCTTGCTCTCTGTCCTTTATTCTTTGGGTAGAAAATAGGAATCAGCGAATTGATCACGCGGTCAGCGAAACACATCTTCAAGACGTACCTCCAGGTATGACCTGCAGTCTGACCTCTTGCCTCCTGTGTCCTCTCTAATGACTCTTTTCCCCAAATAGAGCTGTTGGAGTCTCATTAGGCAGTTCATGGGGGTTGCTTAGCAACGGGAAGTACAATCTCATTAGCGCTAAAATAGGTGCAGGCCTGCGTGTGAGGAAAACAAGTTCCCACTTGAAGATGGCTTTCCCAGAGAGCAATCATTCATGCTTTTCTTCCCCAGATTCTCACTCATTATGTTGAAGGCTTTTAAAAGTGAAATCACAGCTTGTTTTCCTTGTAATACCTTTCCCTCTAAGCAGTGTTGCTCTTGCCTTCTAAGAAGCTGTTCTAATTGCATGAACACCAGGGCAGCCTCATACCTGTCCGTGGCAGCACACCTGGCTTTAGTCCCCTGTCAAAATCTGTTACCCTCTCTGGCTTCGTTGTCCCAGGTAGCAGCCCCAAATGAACTATGTCTTTGTGTGTCCGGGGTTTACTGGGTTTATGTATTTACCTCTGACATCTACATAATTCGCTCTGTGCTGGTTCCACTTCCAAACGTTGCCTTTCTCTCCCTCCTGGGAGGTTTTCCTGTTCCTTTTAGGCCCAGGGGGGTGAGGCTCGGGGTCTGAGCAGTGCCTGTGTGATGGTGGGCGTCTTCCACGACTGATTTTGGTGTCTTGCTGTAGGGCGTGGAGCTGTCGGGTTTGTCAGCAGCCATCAGCCACTTCCTCAATTGCTTTTTAAGCTCCTTTCCAAATCCCATTGCCCATCTTCCAGCTGATGAGCTGGTCTCCAAGAAAAAGAATAAGAAAAGGAAAAACAGGAACCTTGGAAATGCTGATAACACAGCGTGGGCCAGCATGACCCCTCAGGAGCTCTGGAAGAATATCTGTTCAGAAGCAAAGAACTACTTTGATTTCAGTCTCGAATGGTAAGCAGAGCACACTGCCCTCACTTCTGCCTGGACCCTCACCAACTGTCTGTAGCTCTCACTGTTCTTTAATAGGACCTGCTTTTTTGACTTGTTTTCTGTTTGAATAGGAATTGGTACTCTGTAGGGAGTTTTACAGGCTTATAATGGAAACAAATTTGGCACAGAGAGGCAGGGGGAGGTGTAACTGAAATTTGAAATGAGGTGAAACCTAGGAGGCAAAGGCAGCAAGGAAAACCAGAGGAGGACGGGACACCTCTCCTTAGTGGTGCAGGGAGAAAAAGGCAAGAAGCTGAACAAGTGTAGTCAAAAGGTATTTGTCTATATAGATGATGATTTAGGCTGAAGGGAGCTTATGTTCCAAAACCAAGGAAAGCTTCTCCTGTATCTGAAACAGAGACAGTGAATAAGGCTGCTGGGAGGTGTGGACGGCGAGTGTGAAACCAGAAGCACGAGTAAGAGAGAGAAACCATGACTAGTTGGCTAAATCAGTGACCAGCCCATCAGTCAGGGACAGCTTGTTCCTCACCAAGAGCTGAAGGCGTTCAGGCTCTGGCCTCAACTCCGCCGTGAGCTTTGAAGAGCACACACGTAGGATTTCAGTTAAAAGTACTGTTATGCATCTCTGTGAGCTTTAATAGCCCATTAGCAACCACTGTGGCGTTAGTCATTGGTTTCAGTCAGCAGCTGGCTGCAGAGGACCTGTGCTGCAGGTACACCGCAGTGGAGGGATGTCCTTGAGCAGAAACTCACCTGGGAGCTGAAGCCTGTGTGTGTTTTTTGCAGTGAGAATGCTGACCAAGCAGCTGAAGTGTATAATCTACAGAAAATCACCCTGCTCCGTGAAATCTCCCTGAAAACTGGAGTCCAAGTAAGATCCTTGTCTTCCCTCCCCCATCGTGTTCTGTACTGAGAACTGTGATGAGTAAGTGAAGCAGCTTTGGAGGGGACAGCCCGTCAGCCAGAGAGTGTGAGCCCCTGGGGGTCTCTGTGGTGGTAATGCTGCAGCACAGGTTCCAGCCTTGGGGAAAGAGATTGCTAATGCAGTTCCCTTTTTAGGGTGACCTTGTTGTGCATCTCCCTTGGAAGATGAGCCAGCCTGAGTACAGTTCCTGTGGCTTGCTCTGACAAACCAACTTCCCTCGTGCCTTTAAATTCATGCACCTGCATTCTCCCATCCAAAAAGCAGCAGCTCCTTGAGTGAGCAGAGCAGGACTTTGGGGCTGTCCTGCAAAGAACAGAGGTTTCCTTCCCCACACTGCTGCCTTCCTGCCCCTCTGCTGGAGTTTGGCTGGACAGGGTTCCCCCCACGGGCCTCCAGTACTGACACCACCATGCCGTGGCACCACGCACACATGGTGCACACCTGTTTTGAGTGTGAATCCATGTGCAGAGTTTATGGCTCATTTTCCCCTCTCTTCTTGGCAACCACCTATGAAAGCAGTGACCATGACCTCTGGTCTTTTTGGTTCCTCCAGATCCTGCTGACAACAGGCACAAGCCCACCTTCACAGAAGAGGATATTCTCAACATCTTCCCTGTAGTGAAGCATGTAAACCCCAAAGCCTCAGATGCTTTCCACTTCTTCCAGAGTGGGCAAGCAAAAGTTCAGCAAGGTACTGTCTCAGGGTGACTGCTGGTGGAAGGTGTCCATGGACTGGTGCTTTCCACCACTGTCACAGAATTACAGACTGGTTTGGGTGGGAAGGGACCTTTAAAAGTTGTTCAGTCCAACCTTCCCTGTAGGGAGCAGGGACATTTGCAACTAGACCACATTGCTCAGAGCCCTGGCCAACCTCAGCTGGAAGGTCTCTAGGAACAGGGCATCAACCACTTCTCAGGGCAACCTGCACCATGTTCTCACCACCCTCAGCCTCAAACATTTCTTCCTTCTCTCTGGCCAAAATCTCCCTCTTCTAGTGTAAAACCATCACTCCTTGTCCTGGCACAACAGGCCCTGCCCAAAAGTCTGTCCCCAGCTTTCTGACAGGCCCCCTCTAAGTACTGAAAGGCTGCAAGAAGGTCTCCCAATATATATCCCCTCCCCCCATGCAGGCAGAGAACTGTGGGCTCCAAGCCCACCTGAAGCACACCTCTGCTGTCAGGTTCCCAGTGATGAACACGGGCAGGGGTGGGGCAGCAGTTCCCTTCTCCCAGCTGCAGTCCTTGTGCAGGCAGTGGCCGGTGGCTCCGCGCCCCGCTGGGGCTGCTCACGGGCAGCCGGGGGCTATTTCACCTACACGTGTGTGAGACTAGATCTGCTTCCAGGTTTCTTGAAGGAGGGCTGTGAGCTCATCAATGAAGCCTTAAACTTGTTCAACAATGTGTATGGTGCTATGCATGTAGAAATCTGTGCCTGCCTGAGGCTGCTGGCTCGTCTCAACTACATCATGGGGGATTATTCAGAGGCAAGTGAGGGCTTGGGTAGGGTCTGTTGGGTCCTCCTGTTCCTTCCCCCCACTGGCTCGCTCAAGTGTGCAGCACAGTGTGACTTGCTCGTGGCCCCTCTGTTCTGTGTAGGCCTTAAGCAATCAGCAGAAAGCGGTGCTAATGAGCGAGAGGGTCCTGGGCATCGAACATCCCAACACCATTCAAGAATACGTGAGTACAGGCTGCTGGTGAGGCAGCACCTCCTGTGTCCACCTGAACCCGTGTCTATATCTAGAAAACAGCTGCAGTTCTCCTTCCTTCTGTAGTGTTCTTCCCAGAATCCTCCATTTTCATCATGAGTTCTGCATCTTACATTTTTGTAAACCAAATGCCTCAGTGTTTGTAAGTGTCCTGCATGGTCAGTATTTGTCCTATTTCATTTACAAATTTGAGGTTTTATCTGATGACTATTTACATTCTGCTGGCTTATGTCAAAAACAAAGAATCCCCCAAAAGTGCAAACAGAAAATCATACCTGTGCAGATTAATTTTGAAATATTCCTTGAGGCGCGTAAGAGAAACTGAAGTGAAACACTTGAGCCTCCTCAGTGCTGTGTCCTGTGCGGTACCTCAGGGAGGCTGTAACCCAGCCATCAGACCTGGACTTCTCCAAGTGCTAGAAACCCTGAGAGGAAGAGCCTCGGACTTGTGTGCAGCAGAGGAACAGAGCAGAAAGGATCCCTGAGCTGGCCTGGCCTCGCAGCGAGCGCCGCCACTGATGCTGGGTTACCTCTCACGTTGCAGATGCACCTTGCTCTGTACTGCTTCGCAAACAGCCAGCTCTCCACAGCCCTGAACCTGCTGTACCGCGCGCGCTACCTCATGCTGTTGGTATTCGGGGAGGATCACCCAGAAATGGCACTCTTAGATGTAAGTAATCTCTCAGAGTCTTCAAGTTTCTGATCTCCAAGAAACCTCTTGGCCTTCAAAATGCCCATGGTGCTGTTATTTAAAATAAACTTCGAGGCATGGCTTTTTCCCCCCTTAATACCAGTTGGTGCCATTATAAGAAGGGGAAGAAAGGAGTTTGACTCCAGCTTGTAGGCCTTCTGTGGCTGGAGCTGCAGACTGGGAAACTGGAGACATGGGTTTGAGCACCTGTAATCCATGGGAACATTCCTTAATTTAGCCTGTTCTTGTAACCCGTGTGTAAAACAGAGAGTTCCCTGGCTCTCGTCAGGCTGGTCTGGACTGAGCTCCTGGGGGGGGGGGGACCGGGTGACGGCAC